GGGGGGGCGGTTTGTTTTTTGACAGCTTGCGATGGAAATGGTCGGGCCACTTGTCCTTCTACGCTCGTGGTGCAGCATCGCGTCTTTATTCCGTTTTGTATTCTAATTGCGGCGTGAAGAAACATGGGTGAGTCTTGAAAGCAAGCCCCAAAAGCAAATTTATACACACGCCGGGCGCCGCACAGCATTCCTACGATGGGGTGGGGCGGCAGATGGTCGCGAGGGCGCTGGCGTTTTTTTTTGCCGCATAACGGCCCAACTGCTTTTTCGTTTGGCACACGCCTCTTGGGATCCGCGGGTTCACTGTTTCACGCGGGTGGGGTCCTTGCCATGGGGAACGGCGCGCCGGCGGCGTGCATGCGAGAGAAAAAAGTGTTTACCTAGGGGGCCCCGCCTCACCTCAAAGCCACCTTCGCAATGCTGTGTGCCCCAGTGGTTTTTTAGAACATCGGAGGAGACGCACTCATTGCTGAGTGCCAAATCGGTTGTGCTGGCTGCCAAAGAATTTTTCTTGACGCACAGGTTCCGGTTTTAGCCGGTTTGGCTAGCTGGTGAAATGTTTTGTGCTCAGCAAAACGCCAACGAATGGTTCTAGAAGATGCTGCTGCAACTGGGCTGGGTGCGGCAAAACCCGCCGCAGTCAAGCGGAACTGGAAGAAGCCCGCCAACGCAAGCCGGGTTGGAACGCGGCGGGTGATATCACCACCCCACCGTTCTCCCCAGAAACGGTCGCCTAGGAGGTTCCCCGGCAGAAAGTTTCCGTTACACCTTCCGCGGCAATTTGGCGGACCCACCCTCGGTTAGGCTTTTGGATGGGGCACTCTGTAAAGGAAATGGGGTTCGGCGGAGGCGCGCCTTTCCATACCTCGCCGGGGGTGCCGGTAACCCCCCCCCCCCCCCNGGGGGGGGGGGTTAGGAGAGACCTTATATCCAATTTGCATCGCGAAAACAATACCCCTAGCTTGCACCAGTTTGGGGTCTTCCAGTAACATCCAAACGTTCCAATTGTAGGGAAGCCAAAAGCTTCTAATCAACTTATGCGGAGGAGGTGCTGAAAGCGCCCTTAACCCGCCTCCCGCGCTCCCCTTCGCAAGCCCCACCCCTTCGCGATGTCCGTCGGCAAAACCTTCACCTCACACGGGATGCCATCCGCAGAATTATTTTCTAATGCGACATAGCCCGGTGTGGCGTTTGGGCCTTTTTCGCGCGGCGCCCTGTCGGTGTGCCTTGCCTCCCCAACCAGCGCATCGGAATGTGCGCTGCCTTTCCCCATAATGGGCATTACTGTCGGGTTGTCGGTGCATATGTGGAGTGTGGCCGGCAAATTCCCCTTGAAAGCGGACAGGGCCAATCCGACAGACCTGGCTTCGGCCTGTGGTATAATATGGGGGCTTGTTCTCATGCGCCCCCTGCGGCCCACACTTCCCCGCCACCCTTAAACAGCAATGCGCCCCATCCGTATAAAGAGGCGCCGGGCACTAACGTACCCGAAGTCGGTTTGCCCTCGGGGGTTTACAGGGCCACCCCGCAATAAAGCATTCAGCGATTCCAGCCCGACCATGGGGGCAAAGGGGGGTGAAGCTGCCGGAACCCTGGGCCTGTAACAGCCCTCTGTTGAGCCGCGGCTGTCTTCGGTGCGCTGTTTTCAAAAAGAAATAATACCGAAGAAGCGAACCACCCTGAACCCCCGCCGCGCACACCATACGCCAAGTGGGGCGTTTTAATTCCTCCACCGAAATCTTTTGGAGGGGTGTGGGGCTCTTCAATTTCTGCAACGTTTTGTCACTGAAGAAACCCTTCTTCGCAATGTGGTTGAAACAAACCCTTATGAATTCGTAACGCGCGGTGGGTGCCTCGTGCTCTCGCACCGTCGCCCCGTATTCGCGCATGTTTTCCGCAATATTGTTTCCCCACAACTCTACGCTTTTACGCGGCCCTGTGATACGAATATTATCAATCCACACGTGAAAAGTTAACTCCGCCGGGGCCGCATAACATGGTTTAACCACCTCGGGGTCACCAGCCAAAACTCTTGAGATCGTATGCGCGATTTCCGGAATACATTTATACCCCATTGGGGCCGTGTGAACTCGACCAGCTCCCCCTTCTCCGTGCGGCAACGGAAATTTCCGCGCGTTTCGGCTGGCAAACCTACCTGGAAAAAAGATGCTTTGAGATCTAAAATGGCGGCAGCCTCGTCGTAAACCGCCCCCAGGTAACGGGAAATATGCCCTAGAGGAACCATAGCCTCGTAGTCCTCGTGTTCATTTTTAGCTTTTGGCCATGCTATGAAACGTCGCCGTGGCCCCGACTGTTTTTCCTCCACGACTGTAAAGGGCACCACCCACCCGGTAGTGGGTAGCTTTGATGCGGTTTGAATAATACCAGCCCTCTTCATAGCCTGTGCATCCCTTTCTGTCATGCCCAAGAGGGGCTCTCGTTCCCCTGCCCTAGCATAAGCTGGCTGTTGGACCAAGTCCCACACTGTGTTAAACCGTTCCAGAGCCGTAG